ATTTCACGTTCACTTGGTAATACTGCTATTGCTGCAGTTGATAATGTTGTTTTAGCACATTCTTCATCATAGATACGTGGAATTGGTGTTGTTTCATCTATCACTCGTTGTTTGACTTTTTCTCGAAATGCACGTATATCAATTTTTTCTGATTCTTGAAGGTGACAATGTTCACCAATCATTTTTATCAATTTGTCGTTCGTATTTGTATGAGCTTTAACTAAACATTCATCAAATGTACATATCCAGTATTTTGTACTTGTTGTGGTTTTGTTCAATTTGAAAATACAGTTATTTAATTCCAGCATTGGTTTTCCTTTTTGTGATTGAATAAATGAAACACTTGATGATGATGGTTCATTTTCATTTGATGAAAATGGAGCAGTTGTGGTCATGAATACAGATTTTCAGGTGTATAGTTATTTCTGATTATTTTGCTTTCTTTATTCGATAATACTCATCATAGTTACCACTTGTTATACTTTTAATCCAATCGAATAATGAGGAAAATGATAACAGATTATAGGTGATTATAATCACTGTCTATCAGAGACATCACTTTTCGATATTTTTTCTATTTTCGACATTTTTCCATTCTATATTTTTTTCTTCTACATTTTTTCGTTCTACATTTTTCCTCCTGCACACTCTTTTTCGATGTTTTTTTTTCGATATTTTTCCTTTCGATATTTTTCTTTTCGACCAAACTACGACCAACTAGTTAAACAAGCATTACGTTGTTCAATATGTATTAGCTCTTGATTCACTTACCAGTTGGAAATATCCAACAGCTGGCTCAGTTCGAGTGTGATCACTGTCATCATCCAACTTTTCATACTTCGCATGAAGCTGTTTAAAAACGAAATATTGACGCCAGTTGGATAATCTATATGAATACAATATTGTCGTTGATACGTTTGTAAAACTAAATTCTATCTTACATGTTAGTTACCGATTGTCTTCTCGTTTTATTGCTCTCATCGACAGAGCAACGATCTACTCTTGATATTAGTGGCTGCGTATCAGGCATGGTGTAGCGTAGAATATGTCCTCTTTGAAAGAAATTGAAAAATATAATATCTAAGCAGAAAACATAGATACGAGTTAACGATTTGCTTGATTAAACATACACGCATGTACAAACATAATAGTCAATGACATCAAGAAATTTATCTCTAGTAAATATACCTAAGGAGAAAGAGCCGCACATCGCCTTTAGGTAATCGGTGAGAAAGAAAAGAGAAAATAATAAGTTACGTGTGTGAGTTGTTCTTTCATAATAAAGCTGACAATAGAAAGAAAAGGATCGAAAGAATTGAGCCAAACACATAAATGTAAGAAATGATGCTCACTTGAATAGGCATTAAAAACCAATCAGATTGCAGTTCTTATTTTACCGTAATCTAGCTGTGTTAGGTAGTGGCGCTATCTCTCACCACTACCTCTCCTCTTCTTTCTTTTATCTCTCTATTGGTCACTAGACCGACTTATGTGTTACGTTATGTGTGACTATATGGTCAGTTGTTGTTTTGTTTTGTTAATGAAGAGTAGTAGTTGTGAACACGAAGATAGAAAATAAAGATAAGAAGTGTTTTTGTTAGCCAACAGACTAACAATTGGTGCCGTGACCCACATCGACAACTCTTCGTCGACTACGATAAGTTTTGCTTGTTTTTTTTTTCTCGGTTTATTCTGTTTAGTGATTATTACTCAACATTCATTCATTTGATATCCAAGTTACTATTGATTATTACGTTTTATTATCAATTCCTGATAATTGTTATTTTTTTTCGTATTGAACTTACTCATTACATTATTATCTGTTTCTGGTGATTTACTCCTTCGTGGTGATATTTAATTTGGTCTTTCGCTTATCCATTACATTTATTTGTTTATATGGTTATAACTCGTTCACATTATCAACAATTATTTCAACAAGAAGCAAAACGATTATCTGATATTGATATTGAATTTTCTTCTTATTCCGAATTTTCTCTCAATCACATTGTTTATCATCCAGCATTTTTATCAGTTATGGAAGAACAGGTTATGAATACTTTAGCTAAAGAACAAATTAAAAATCTTTCTAAATTTGGTGGTGCTCCAGATGAAGATGTTATTAAATGGATACAAGATATGGAAGCAGTATTTGATCGAGCACAATTACAACCATCAAATAAATTTATTGCCATACAATCAAATCTCACTGATGCTGCTGAAAAATGGTTTCGTTATAACAAGTCCAGTATTACTGATTGGTTCATATTCAAAGCCGAAATTGTTAAAGCTTATCAACCATCACTTAATCAAATCTTATTAAAAATGGAAAAACGACGACAATCACCTAATGAATCTGTTATGACATATTATCATGATAAACTTCAATTATGTTTACAAGCTGATTTGAATATAAGCTCGGCGATGATACTCCATCATTTAACTAAAGGATTAAATAACTCTTTAGTCCCTCACCACAGTGGGCAACTTTCGCATAGCAGGCGGACATGTAATTTTTTTTCCTCGAAAATGGGTTCTTATTGGTCAGAACGAGATATATGTCATTTAGAAAACCAACTTTAACAAAATAAACCATTTTTCGAAGAAAAAATTTTTTACCAAAATCATGTGTGGGGGGGGTACCCTTTGCTAATTTTTCGGAAAATTTTTTTGTCAGAAAATGTATTGTGTCATACCTCATCCGACGTAGTTTCATGCGCTGATTCCGAATATCACCTTGGTTTGGCGCCAAAATGCTTCCTTATTCTCAAAACCTGCGATTTGGGTGCCGAAGCCGGGATTTTTGGGGTACCATGAATTTGGCAATACTGACTTTCGCAGTTGACTTTCGGCAATTGCCAAAAGTCATATCACCACCTACACTCAAAACGGGCTCTCATTGGAAGTGGACTTTTGACAATTGCCAAAAGTCAACTGCGAAAGTCAGTACTGCCAATTCCATGTTTCCCGGTTTTTGGGACACCGCTTACACGGGCTGTGTTCATATTTACAAAACGGCGCTATGACCAAAGATAAACCATACATAGGAGAAAAATCCCTGAAAGTTTCAACTCAATCAGATTAAAACTCTTTGTAGCGTTCACAAAATACGGAAAGGCCGTTTTTTGACCGCTTTTCGGACCAGTAATTATCGTTTTTCTGTTCTATTCCTTATCCAAACGAAACAATTTTTTAGTATTTATTTTATTTTTAACATTTTTTTGTTTTTGAGATTTTTCGATCTTTTAAAATTTATTTACAAAATTCTTTTATTGTTCATAAAATAAGTTCGCCTGTACAAAAAAAAATTTCATCAGATTAAAACTGTTAAAGGAATGAGATTTTCGAACTATATACAAGTCAATATTCTTCATATTAAATATGTTGGTTCATTTTTAGAGAAATAGAGTGCTGAGTATTTGATCATCTATATCTGACGATTGAGATGTAGCCGTAGATGTTTTCGAATGTACTTGTCGTCTATTAAATGTATCAATAACTACTTTTCTGATGATCGGATCAGAACGAATAAAGAGTCGGTTGAAAACATCTGTTAGATTCATAATATGTCCACATTTCCTAGATAAAAATTCACGAAAATTACGAATATCTTTGTTGCAGCTCTCAAGAGCTTCTTCTGATAATTCTCCTAAAGCCACGCCATGATTTCTTTGTATTAATTCGCATGAATGAAATATTAAGGAATGTACAGTCATAGTATAATTAATCCATTTTTCATTGCATAATAATTTTTTAAAATCCATAATTAACACATTGAATCGAACAATGTTAATAGATTGAGTCGAAGAAACAGCTCTCAGAATAATAGAATAAAGTTGAATCAGTTTCCGCAACGTTGTACGATGTCGTGAGGGAACACAAGACACCAAAATATCTCGCACTTCGTGAGAAAAAAATTTTCGTCCTTGTCCGCCAGTTGTACTTGTACCACCAGTTGTAGATGAAGACGAATCACATTGATCAAGTCGTAAACCAGTTTTACCTTGTATTATTTTTAAGATTGCTTTCTTTTCTTTTGAAATTTGATCTTGTTTATCCTTGCCATGAATGGCCCATGCTAAGACATTGGCACGCATATGAGACATAATCTTTAAAATCCAACTTGTACCATTAATATATTGATGAGTAATAGTAATAAAATGTTGATCATTGATTGATAAAGGCTTCGATGTTAAACCTGTACGTGTATCGTAATCATTTTTGCGTTTTAAAATATTGCCATCGTTATCAGCAAGTTGATTATAGAGTGTAAGAGTTTTTTCCGCTGTCCGATTAATATTAAAAAAATTAGAATCTAAAATCTTCTTGGAATTTTTCCAATCTTCTTGTGTGGTGCTACACATCAAGCATTGTGCGCCTCCCAAACCTGATTCAGCCATTCGAACCTTCATGTCTTTCATACTTGCTTCAATTGTAATCTTGACGACGTATGTTTTGCTTTTGTATTTAAATGTTAAACCATATTTTTCTAAACTTTTTTCTTGATTTTCATATTCTTCATTGACGAAACGAAGTAAATCATCATTTTCTCTTTCAGCAATTAGTAGTAATGGTCGAGCATAAAAGGCACTGTTCGGTGATTCATTTTGCCATAGAACTTGATCTAGTTTTTCATCTTTCAATGTTAATGGGACAAACATTTTGGAGAAAATATTTGGATCACTCATTGGATTTTCACTTGAACGATATATTGACATTGAGCCAGCACCATCTTGACCTGTTTTCTCACGATATGATAGATGACTGGGTACATTGATATTTTTCGAATGAAGAGCATCAATCAGTCGTTGAATCGTTAACTGCATTGGTTCTCGACGATCTTTTACATAAATACCTCTGTCATTGCGGCAACTTGTGAGTGATGGTATCAAATCATCAGTGTGGTTTTTAATATATTGTCGATTTGGAATAATAACATAATCATTAGTAAACCATTTTAAAAAATCCATGTCTGTACGACTTAAATTTAAATGACATTTAAGTGCTAATGCTTCATCTAAATCAACACTTTTTAAATAAGAATTGTTGGTATATTCATTTTCGTAAAGTTGATGCCCCAAATTAGCTAAATATTTATCACTATTGTAGTTTCGTTGGTAAAGAAGATATCCTATAACTTGATTAATCGTCAAATCGTTTGCCTGAGCAAATTCATCTAAGAAAGAATTTAAATCACACAATCGTCGTCGCTTTTGACGAGATGAAACTTCACTAAAATCACGTTGTCGTTTTGTTAGATTTGGAAGTGGAGAAATAGACGTTGGCGTAGGTGGAGAATAAAAAGACGTTGTCGGCGATGGATCACTTGATGCAGATGTTGAAGATCGTCTTAGTTTTTTAAAATTTGTTGAAGATTCAGAAACTGGAAGCGGCCGAAACTCTTCTTGTGTAAGTGCAACAATATTAGCGAATTTCTGTTCTTTTTGTAGTTTATTGCATTTTTTCCATACATCATAAAATTTTGCTTTATTTTTAACGACATAATAATGGATCTTTTCAGCTATAACTGCTTCGTTGTGTTTAATAGGACGAACATCGAAGTAGACACATATTTTGGTAGTAAATAAATTATCGTTTCCATAGCACTCGTTATCATAAATATGATAAAAAGTATTTAAATTAAGATTGTCCATTGTTCACGTAAATTTTGGTTTGATGAATAGGACTAAATCCAGGTACGTTTTTTCAGTGTGAAGTTAGAGTTGTAATAATTACAAATATCTTTTGAATACTGTTTATTGATCACGATAACGTGCAATGCATACAAAAACGTGTGCAAATTTCTTGTTAATATAGTTTCTTACATGTAACGATGTGATCAAAACTGTAATGAATGTAACAGTCTTTACAAACTTTCATTCAATTTGTGGCCGTGGACTTATATTTTATCTATTCCTTCTCGTTCTTGTCTCAGAAAATTAGACGACTGATGATTGGCCAATCCTATTTGGTCTTATTATTGTTATACAGAATAAGAAATAATGTCAACAAAACATCGATTTTTGGTTACAAGTCTGGATTTTTAATGATTCTGAGCTCATTCCACTGACGTTTACAGCATATAGCGTATATAAGCAATGATTAATCAACACAGAGATATAAAACTTGTAAAAGATTAAGTTTAATCAGATAAAAACTCTTGGCAGGGCCCAAAAAATACGATACCAGCTAATTTTTCAACTTTTTCTTCATAACAGTCAAAAATTATTTTTTGAAAAAATGCCCTTTACTATATGTACTTAGATGCAGCTCGACGAGCTGATTCCGAATATAACATTGGTTTGGCGCCAAAATGCTTCCTTATCC